TGCCTAACATACCTCACGCTGCCTCCAGTAACTCTTAAGCCACAGCTGGCCTGCCATTCCTTGAAGTAGACAGTGAATCTACTACTTCACAGAACAGGATAAGGTAAAAAGAGGAAAGCAGACCCTTAAAAATACAGTATTAACGTTTCTCTAATAAGACATGGCCACTTATTGCTCTGGTGTTTACTTTAATAATGTCTCCATATAGTCCAAGAACTGTATTGTGTTACAGTGGCATGTGCTTTTTCTATTTCTATCATTAACACTATTCTAACAACAAAAATCATCATTCTGTGCAAAAACTGTGAAAAAAACAATTTACTTAACACCACATCCATTATTATATAGTATTATACGTGCGAGCAAAACTGGAAATTATGTGAAACAGAGAAAGAAAGCATGAAGAGATCTGTATTTATCCCTGGGGGAAAAAAGGAGTCTCAATAGAAATGATAGAAATCCTCACCTTTACCACTATAATGAGAATTTCCTCTAAACACCACGAAGAGAAAACACCTCAACTTCAGCACAAAAAGCCAAATGCTACATAAAATTCTTCTGTGTATTGTTTTTCTGATATTTTAGAACAATTGTGTTTCAGAAAGATCGAGTTAGTTCACAAATATGGAACATTCTCGCCTACTTCTTAATGATACCTGAGGGGTCTGCTCTTCTTCAGAGTTTCCCAACAGCTTGCCAATATCAGTCAAATTCTCAAGGAACTACAATGGGATTCTCTATTCTATCCCAGTTTCAAAATCTACTTAATTTCCCAGAGTTTTTCTAAGATTTCTGTATACATATACAACTAAAAAGCTGTTATGGTAACCACAACTTGGCTAACTTTTACTTATATCATAAAATCATGGAACAGTTTGAGTTGGAAGGGACCTTCAAGGTCATCTAGTCCACCCCCCACCCTCAATGAGGTGGGGGACATCTTTAATTTGATCAACTAGATCGGGTTGCCCAGAATGACATCCAGCCTAGCCTCGTATGTCTCCAGGGATGGTGCATCCACCACCTCTCTGGGCAACCTGTGCCAGTATTTTACCACCCTCAATGTAAAGAATTTTTTCCTTACATCCAGCCTCTCTTTTAGTGTAATGTCTTTTTGTTTAAAATCTCCCCTCTTTTAGTTTAAAATCATCACCCCTCATCCTATTGCAACTGGACCTGCTAAAAAGTCTCTCCCTGACTTTCATATAAGCCCCTTTTAAGAACAAAAAGGCTGCAGTAAGGTCTCCCTGGAGTCTCTCTTCTCCAGCCTGAACAATCTCTTGATCTGTAGACAGAATGTTCCCTTCATAAATTATAATCCCTTTTGTGAAACAAATAAACGGCAGATATATGTGAAAGGAAACATAATTCTCTGTAACCATGTACAATTTGCAGTGTTTCTTCTGGGAAGGCCTTTGAGACAGCAGGATAATAAAGACTGTCACCACTGACTTGGAGCAGATTGTTTCTGGTGACTTATCAGCTAGAAGAAGACTTCAGAATTCATTACCAATTCCCTAAAGCAGTCTTTTCTTCAATTTTTAATGTATTAAGTGTAAATGCATCCATTTAATACATTCGGTATTCTAAACATATACATTGCTAGATTTTTTAATTCAACAACATAACCAATTGAAAGGAATTTAATTAGTATGATAGTAGAATGAAATCTAGTATGAAGCAGAATTAAAACCATCACAATTACAAAGCATACTTATGTAAGTCCACCTCTAAACATAAAACAGTGTCTGCTATTATTTTATGACGACACAGTTTTTAAAAAATTTCATGAGCAAATTTATTCAGTTAATCCCAAATACAAACATCTTTGGTACATACAGCTATATGTATAGACTATATTGTCTGCTCCAAGAAGGGTGGGTTGCTTCTCAAACTACCAGGAACTACTGACCTCTCTGTTCAGAAGAAGGCTATTTCTGCCACTCTAAAATGACACAGCTCTTCTCCTTTTCTTTTTATGCAGGAACTAATATTGCTGCTCTTGGTAGATAGCATTACCAATACTTTGATTATTTTATAGCCCTTCACATCTATTTAAATCATCCAGTCACTTCAATCAATCAGTCCAACCACCGGTTAAGTCTATAGGCTCTGGCTTGTCTATATGCTTCATGACTTGTGTTACAATAATCAATCAGTTCACCTCACTCCTTGTGAGCAGGCTTCCATATCAAAAAGCTCACTGTCACACACAGGTACTAGCCAAGCACCTTGAAGGGTGGCATCCAGTGCATTCGGCTGCTTGCAAAGCCTTTTTAACGTTCTTAAATTATTACAACATTGGAAACTTTAATGCTTTAGCTTGTCATTTTAGATATTACTCAAGCACATATTTTAAATACAAAACCATCAGTAAAGTACCATTGTTCTCTTTTCTGACTGCAGATGGGCAAGGATCACTGCTTCCATGACTTTGCCTGTGGAACAGAACTGACAAGTAATGTCCCAAAAGACCACTTACTGAGAGACTGCAACATGTAAGTGGCATTTTCTCCTCATGGCTACATCCAAAGGATGTTTCTACCTCTTGGACGATGAGGTAGAAAAAGAAGTGCCAAGTCTTACGTCTGATATGAACTTCAATACACAAAGACAGGATATAAATAATTATAAACATGGTATGAACAAAGATAAAACCAAGAAAATAATAATTAAAAGAGTATTTCGATCTACAGAACACTACTATCAAATAAAAATTTCCTATAAAGTGTGAGAAGACCCAAAGACATCAGCGGCAGGTTTGGAACTTGACACTTATAGACTGATCTAACTTGCAGACAGTTCACCCATAACTGTTGTTCAAAGGAGCACAGTAATTTCCCATTAGCACCTTCTCTGCCCAGTTGTAACTAAAACCAAATCAGTTATTTCAGAGGAGCTGAAAACCATGGCATATATCTAGCTACACCAAACTTTTACTACACTTAACTACCCAAACTATCACTTGGCTTTTGCTATGCTTCAGGAGAACTAAATGAGGCAGCCTCCCAAGCAACTTTTGCTCACTAAGCAGGAGCATAAGCATTAGTTGTCAAGGTGTAATACACATTACAAGGACTCACTTTTGAAGCCATTTTAGGATTTCACGATTTCTAGGGGTTAAATGTAGTCATTATCATTCTGTCACTAGGAAATCACAAGTAATAATTTCAAAAATGACAACACAAATTACATTCAAGAGGGAGAGTTCTTTACTCTCCCTCTCAATTCAGAGGAACCACCAGTAGCTCCCCCAATAGGTTGGAACTTTTAACTACTTATTACAGCCTCACAGGCCAAGCAATCTTGCAGGTGTATGGCCATCACATGTGGTCATCACAGCAGAAAAGAAGACTGAAGAAGGCTGACCTCAAAAATGCCTGTAAAATTCTGAGAAAGATATTGTCAGTGCCCCAGACAGTGTAGTGGTCTTATAAGAAATTGAGGATGAAAGCACTTCCAGTTTTTACTTAGGATATAATATTCTGTCAGGTTTTTCTCCTTATTAGTATGTATTTTGTAAATTAAAAGTTCTGATGAAAGTAGAAAACAATATTATAGACTGCATACTGTGCAACATTCTTGATTTGTTTGTGTGTCATTCATTGTAGTTTTTCTATTCCCTATGCCAAATAAACTTCACTTTATTTACAGGACCTAGAAGTGGCAATTCATAGCAGTGGGAACAAGAGCACCAGAAAGTCACTAAAAGAAGGAAACCAACTTCTGACTTTAAGAAAGCTTGACGCTGAGTAGAAGCAACAGAGTGACTCTGAAGAGAGGGAACAGCCGTATGTAAAAAGGCATTAAAAGAATGTGGAACAAGCCCATGCAGGAATGAGGAGCACCTGGATCTGCAACGCTTTAGCTGAACATATTGTAAACATATTTCCTTAATAAAGCAGTAGTTAGGGGTTGGCAAAGTTTAATCAATAATTTTGCAAATGGAGAAATCCAGATTAGCAACTCCTTAATTGATTTTTGATGTTAGCATTTCAATTAACTGAAATTTTCAGCTCAAATGGCAGGTCCAGAACACATCAACTTCTATTAGATGAATACTGAGCTTGTGCTTGCCACAATTTAATTTTTACCCAGATTACATTTGCTCCCTTCTGTTCACAATACCATAACCTCAACTAACAGGCATGTTTGTTATTTATCCATCGACAAAAATCAATACTCTGACCTGCCCACAATTACTTTTGAGAGAATCTGACATGCATATAATACTCTCAGTTACATAAACTGTTTACATATTGAGGGGAACCTTTGGATAGGAAATGCTTTCTACTCTATGCTCTTGAGAAAACAAACACAAGGCAGTAGTAATCTAGGAACTTAGGTAGCTTTATTGGTACGGCCATTTAACACAACGTGGTTCCTCACTTTGGCTTGCTTGCAAATGGGATGCCAAAGGAAACTGCAGCTTATTCAGCAGACTGAATAATGTATTGTCTAAGGCAAAGGTTTAGAGCAGTCATTTATGCATTTACTAAGCTTAAATTGCAAAGAATGTGTGACATGCTTTTCCACCTTTGAAAATTTCAAACTTCAGAAAATATTTTTTCAGTTCAATTACTAAACCCAAATGCCTACTGATACAAAACAAATCCATTAGCAAATAGTTCAGAAGGTAAGCTGTCTACACATAAAATGTAGCTGAACACTGAAGCCACAATTACATTAAAAGCCTTTAAAATTAATTTATATTGTTTACACATATCTGTATGAAAACGCATTTCTTTATAAGTGTAAAGTTGGATGAATAAGTTACTACACAACCCCAGTTATTTCATTTTTGCACCAAGTTAACCCACAGTAACCACTATGTGCAAGAACAGGCAACAGCAAAACAGGCAACCAACTACTGCAGAGTAGCTATGGGTGGGCAACTTGCACCTTGTTCCTTACTCCATTAAAACTTGCCTGCCTGCTCAAAAAAAGTAACCATTAAGATGGATGTCACTGGCCTGGATGTTGTGTGCAGGAGTACTTACCACGAGTACAGAATTGTTCCCACTACTGATGCGAGTTTGCCATTTTCTTGCTTTTGCTTTGCAAGCCCAAAGTCAGCTACAACAAATAAAAAAGATTCACGTGTCAATAACCACTCTCTTTGCATGACAATAGGTGCTCATCCACAACACCTCAAAAGTTGGGGGAGAGTGGAAGGGAGGTTTGGGGGTTTTTTATCTTTTATATTTTGCCATACTACACCATACTATCTTCCTATCTAAATATTAACCAACAACTTCTGTTTTAATCAGACCTACAAGCTTTAAAGATATTATAAACACACCTCTGATTCATTGTAATTCAAACTACATGACCAGTTTCAGGTTTCTATTAATATACTCCAATAAACAGCACGAAAATTTTAAATATCTAATAATCAGTGCTCTAATGACCAAGTTAATGGAAAAAATAATGCAATGAAGTTAGTAATTATTTTGCTTTCCTTCAAGTTGCAATAGCTAGGAAGGGCAGACTTTCTCAGAAATTTAAATTCAAAGGAGTATGAGGTAGGCTTAACACTCGATCAGTTTGTGCTCAGAGATTGCTTCTGAAATGGTGAATCATAGCTTTACCTTGTGACAAAAGCTGTAGATTTAGAAGATCATGTAATTATGTTAATATAAGCAGCTTTTGTGTAATTAGCAGGTAGTCTTTCACAAAATTGCCACACACAATCTTTAGAGACTATACTTTTAATCTAAGTTCCATGCAAACAGTTCAAGTTTATTGTTTTCAATTCAGTACTCTACTGCTGCCTCAACACAACAATGCAGCTCAGATACATTGCACTTTATTAAATCCAAGCATAGAGAGCAAGAGAAAATCATTGTACTTGTTAAAGTCCGTTAATAAATTTTGTATTGTAATACTACTTCGGAAATGGGAAGATCTGTGTGGTAAATAATACTGTTTAAAATATTATAAGGTTCCTGTTCTACGTGGACAGAGCCCACAGCCCATCCCTATTCCAATTGTTTTTGCAGTGAGATAGTTCACAAAAATTTTAGTTTGCAATGTTTCTACCCATCAAAAAAAGCTGTAGATCAGAGGAAACAGGTAAGAAAAAATAGTTTCTGTTGGCTCTTGCTCAATGCGAGCCTCAAGGGTCTGAAGAGGGGAAGATCTCTTATTCAGAAAGGGACTTTGATAAGAAAGCCAAATGTAGGTACCCAGGACACAGATCATTTTTTTAACAAAATATTCAAAGAAGGACTAGCTCTGCAGTGCCTGGAAATGTGAGTAGAAAGAATGTTAAATTAACAGGATCACTGAGGAGCCTCCCTGTTGTCCTCAAGTTAAGACATTTCACTCCAGGGAATATTAAGCTCAAAAGCACCAGAGGTTTTTGTGATGTTGATACTTCCTTGAGTTGATCAGAGTGAATCATTCTACATTCCCGCCTTTGTAATCCTTTGCATAATATTCTATGAAGAAAGGGTATTAAGACATTACATTAATCAATAAATTAAGTTCCTGATATTTGAAAGATTTAGGAAAGGAAAGAGGAGAGCTGGACTTCTTGGTTCTGGAAGTCTATTTTAATACAACATTAATGATTATCTGGAAAAAAGAAAGCAAGGGGAAAAATCAGCCAAATGGACTAAATATATTTTTTTTCTTTTAGGGTCAGATTCTCAGAAATAGAGGGGGGGAAAAAAAAAAACCACATTTCACAGGGAATAACTTCTTTTCAAATTCTGCTAAACCATCTTGACACCAGCAATAAGCTCCTAAATACTACTGGCATAGCTAGAGGTAAGGAATGTAAAGCATGGGACAATCAGCTTTACATCAAACTACTGATCCCAGTGTCCTTTTTTGGCTTCATTCTCAGTTAAAATCCCTTCTATGTGCTGCTGGGCCGGCTGCATTCCACAGCATAGCCTTTAATCACTGCATATTTGTAAGTCAGAGTCTCATAATGAAAAGGTATGCATGTTTAGACAAATTAAGCCTTTCAGATACTTTTCTTTAGCAGGAAGGCCTTTGTTCAAGACCAGGTTGGACAGGGCCTTGAGCAATATGGTCTAGTGGGAGGTGCCCCTGCCATAGGCAGGGGGGTTGTAACTAGATGATCTTAAGGTCCTTTCCAACCCTTAACATTCTATGATTCTATAAACATAAATGATTTTTCCTTAGCCTTTTCAAGCCCATAATACAGAATTGAATGAAAAGGAACTGGCAAATGTTGAACTATATCAACCTAGTGAAATTGTTTCTTTTAATTTATTTAGGCATCTGTCTGCAGCTTATAAATTGGTCTACAACTTTTAATACTCTAGGATTCTTTATTTGCTATTTGATGCTAGAAGTGGCTACAATAGCTAACAAATAAACGAAATAATTTCTAAGAACTGCAAGAGACCTGCCTCCCGTATTATTAAATGAAGATATAATCAAATATAAAGATGACCCCTATTAACTGGTATGCACTGTTTCAGTTGTTAACTGAAGCTTGATTAATGAGGACCCATTGCAACAATTCGTATTAGGCAATTTCCTGAAATAGTTTCACACCATACCACTATGTCTTTTAGAAGTTGGAATTGAATTGTGAGAGAAAGATAGCTCGATACTTGCTCAGCTTTTTATGAACTTTGCCCAAGTGTCAGCTTTTAGCAGAGAGAGAGACCTACATAAACCTTAGACCTGACCTAGTGATTTTTATGTTATGTGCTAATTGGTCACCTCTGAAATTCAAAATCCTACTTGTTAAAGAAAATATTCTTCTTGAACCATCTCAATTTACTACAGTTAATTCATCCAGTGGTACATCACACATTAAGACATAGCTCTTAAGAAAAGGAACGGGCATTTCCTCAGAAACTAGACCTAATCAATTCACACATATCTGTGTGAATACAAATGCATCTGGACACAAACCTCACCAATTTCAGAATGAAATACAGAACTTACAGCTTCCAAATATTTTCCTACCAGTTCCATTCTCACACACACAAAAAGCAATCTACCAAATACAGAAGTGTTGTGAGTATTTACTGGAAGGAACTATATCAATGCTGACAAATCATGACAAATATCAGTAGAATAAAGGTGGCCAGAGAAAAATGGAAAGGTCCTTAGAGAGTCATACTCAGAAGGCCAGTGAAAGCTTTGTAAACCAGTAAATTAGATGAACCAAAACAAAGGCTGGTAAGAGCAAAGGCAAAGAGATAACACAAAACGGAAGGGAGAGCCATCTAGCTACTGCCAACATCAGGAGGCAGAAATTCATGCTGAATCAGGCCATTCAAAGAGGAAATTATAAACCCATTTTAGTGATCCAAAGCAAGATTCTATAAGAAAGATGAGCTAGTAACTCTCTGCTATAAAAAAGATGAGTCCTGCCCCTCTCTTGCATTGTCTTTGGAAACCAGCGCATCTGGCGTTTGTGTCTTGATGAATTTAGCTCATCCCTTCTTCTGGGCGAGTTTCACGCTGCTTTTATCTAGTCCAAGACCCAATACTGGATTCCTAAAATCATTGAATTGTCTACCACTTGTCGCCCTCTCTAGTCTTGCAATGCAGGAATAAAATTGGCATTGAAAAGGCAACTCCCTCATCGCCTCAAAATAACAAACGCCCCCATTTTGACTGTTAGATTGTCCCACCTTCCTGAAAAGTTAAAAACACTCCTTTGGGACCAAAAATAAAACAAGCAACGGTTATTTTGTAGCACAGCTGAAGAAAAAACAAAATGCTAATGGATGACCTTTCCAAGAGGAAGCAGTCTTGGCACTTTAATGGCAGCAATGGAAAACGTATCTACCATTTTGAAGTCTGTTCAAAGACAACAAAAAACTAATAAACTTTCATCATTAGATGGATCTTTATAATCTATGACTAGACATTCTATTTTGCCAGCAATTCATTACCAATAGTCATATCACCTACAGCATTATTATATTTGACCAGGTTTTGTACTGTGATTGTAAACATTAAGCCTTGAGGTTTTTTTCCTCTGTATATCAGGAACCTAGAAAACCAAGCATTTGGGGGCTTGGTTTGTTTTTTTTTGTTGTTGGTGTTTTGGTTTTGTTTTGATGTGTCGTGGTATTTTTTTGTTTGTTTTTTGTGTTGGTTGGGGTTTTTTTAATTCATCAAAAAATAGTCAACCAACCATGCAAGATGGTCCTCAAATAGGAACTAAAAATAAAACTAAATGATGGAGTCATAATCCTCTAGATTCTGAAACACCCTTCTTCACTTGCTTTTACTTATTTACATTGTGTTTAGGGTAAGTGATAATGAAGTAAGATTATTTCAGAAAACGTTACATGCCAAAGAGAGGGTATGAAGGGAAAAGATGTATGAAAAACCATGTAGGTTGAACTGACTAGTATCTTAACCTGCTACATAATGATATCTTCAACTTTCATATCTGAATTACAAAAACTTTCTAAATCTTTGAAGTCTCTTGAAATGAACATTTTAGGTACCTCTGATGTGTTTTTTTCTCTTTTTATTGACACAATCTGTTTTTTCATTTGCCCTTTTATTTCCCAAAAATTTCACCTAGTAGGTTGCTCTTCTACAGTAAAAACAAGAGGAACATTTCCCAGATACTATATCTTAACAGCACTGATCTCATATTTGCACATTCATTGCCTCAAATTATATTTTAACTCTGTTTGAAAATGCCATTATTTTTTCCTAACAGCAAACATACACTTGAAGACTAAAACCAAAGCAAAAAAGGAGGATGAATGGAGTATCAAATTCACCACACTTAAACTTCAGACCTACTCAGATCAGATTTTCGCTTTGTCCCCACTGAACAGTTTCTCCTTCTACCCTGAAAAGCTCAGTATGAGACAAAATCATTTTTCTTCTCTTCCACAAGTTTGCAACCAACTGTAATCAAGAAAGGTTGTCAGCAACTTACTGAGTTACAGTGATCTCTAAGATTAAAATAGAACTTTAATCTTTTTTTCCATAAAAGCATATCCTAAGATCAAGATAATTTACAATTTAATCAACAGTAGTACATACTTATTCTATTCTTTTCTATCAATGGAATGGGAACAGAATTAATTTTTCATAATTCCCAAATACACCATCTAGTTATTCTATCATTCTCCTTTCTGTGTGTTAATATCAATGCTTTGTAAACTCAGCCTACTGTCTGTCAGTTTTGTGAAGCTTGTAACTTCTGCACCAAGAACTAGTAACTTCTGAACTAGATCCATATCTAGAACTGAGATTAGGAGAGAGATGAAATTGTGCTATTAATCCACCAATAGAGTCCAGAAGGTTTGATTTACAGCATGAATGTAAACAAGTGGAAAATTCCACTGAGCCTATTATGGAAGCTTTGAAAATTAAGTGATACAAGCATTTCCTTGAATCTTAGTATGAAGGATAGCAATTCTCATAATGAAGAACGATTAGATGAGCCATATAATCCGTAAAAAAACACTAGCACTGTTCCAAGTGACTCCAAAAACTAGTGACTAACACACAACAGACACTAGTTATATCCACTTTACCTCATGGCCGCTGCTGCTTTGGGCATGGCACAGAATCAAGGGCCAATAAGTCTTTAAAAAGTGCACCCAACAAGCAAGTATTCTCAATTACAAAATTAACAGGTAGCTTTCTTCAAGCATCCAGCAACTATGTGAACTTCTCAAGTCTCATTCACTTCACCATTCTGACACTTCATGCCTATCTGCTATGATTAGAAGTATCACAGAGAGGTGAGTTGCCTCAGAACTAGTATTCCGCTGCTATTTCAGTTCCATACAGATGCTCTCTGCTACTATTGTATCATTACAATGATAGATATTAAACAGAGCATGCCATCCAAAAAAGTATATGGAACCTTTCACAATTCTCCTTGATATCAGAGCTGAAAGGCATCAAAGTGATTCCTCACTGCCCTCAAGATCTAAGCTTTGCTGCAGCTAGATAACACTGAGTGGTGATCTACAAGTCTTCTGTTCTGTCCAACAAACAGATACAGCTATGGAGCTCTAGACAGAAATATGCTGTACTAGAAACAAAATACAGCTGCAATGAAAGCACATATGCATTTCCTATTCAGAAAACTAACTTCTCAATGTCTACTATGAAAAGGACAGGCAGATTAAACTGAGAGCCATAGATAGTATGGGTTCAATGAATCTCTGAAACCCTAAACAAAACAACTTTTCTTCAGGCTGTGCCTAAAATAGTACTTTTTGTGTGTGCGCCAGAAATGATAAATCAGACATTCAACCTGACCAGAGAGGTACAGTTTTGTAACACATTTCTACGAATTTAGAGTGACGCGTTTTACAAAATTGCAGGTTAGATGATTTAATATTTATATTTTCGCAGCTTTTGTAGCTCTACCAATTATGATTAAATGCTGTACCAACATAAGAGATGGTTGTTATGGGCCCTTCATATCAAATTTCGTGTCAGAGATGAAACAGAACAAATGAGTAGGGTTCCAGAGAACACAGAACAACAGCAGGCTTAAAGTTCTCTACAGTCAGGAAGAGATCTTGTATCACGACTAGCCTGGCTAGGATCAGACTGTAAATGTCTCTTTCCATTTGCAACAACACACAACATAAAAGAGCCTGAAAAAGATTGGGATAATTCAGATGTTTAAAAGAAATCATGGAAAATGCAAGGGAAGTCCTATAATCTTCACAGTAGAACAAAGCACCTCCTGGGCTTTGGACTTTCATTTGCATCTTTCCTATATTTACAAACAAAACAATAATCAAAGTCCTGGGTAAGGGTAGTATCTGGTCACACACAATATTTAAGAAATAGGAAATAACGGCATGACTATACAGATTCAAAAATTCTTCCCACTATTGCTTCAGATATTCTTTTTTCAGTAAAATCTATAAAGATGATATCAGAGACCATCTCTAGAAAAGGCCCCTCATAGCTTAATCTTACACTGGGCCAGGCCAGTTGCAGAGTTTTCTGCCTGTATGAATTCCAGTTTTCAACCACCTTTCACCATAGGTCCCTGCCTACCAAGTTCTGCTGGACTTGTTCTACAAAAACCACATGTAGAACATTTCTCCATGAATTCAGAACAAGGAAGCATGATTCTTCAGTAAGTCTATTTTTTACTGTGCTGACAGCAAGGTGGGAATATCTCCCACACTGTACACTCCTTTTCAACCAACATAAACTCAGAAACTATATGAGGTCTTCATGGGATTTTGGAATGCGAGTGGCCCAGTTCTTACACAGACAGTGAGAAACACCTACCTGTGAGTCCCAGAACTTTCTTAAAGCAGTTCATTGTTGGGGCTGATGCAGAGCCGTACACAGAACAGAATGAAAGTCTTAACATACAGAAGCACTTTGCTCCAGTCTATTGCTCACTTTATTTTATTTTTTTTATCAAAAGCTACAACGAGAGCGTGAAACCAAGGCACCTCTCTAAATAAAACACTTGAAGAACATTAGTTACAGAGCAATAAGCTGCCTTTGTTATATTGTCAGCCTGCAGATTCTCATAGCAAAAGATCATGAGTTACCATTTCCAGAAGCACTGATTGAGGAAAGAAGAAAGAAGAGCAGTATTGTAAGATATACAAGCTTCTGATATAAAGCAAAATAATATGGACCATCAGATGCCGTATTTTTATTACATAGCCATGCAACACTGTTTCATAGGTAGTCCACAGGAACATTATTCTAATTAGATCAAGACTAGTTTTGGACAGTATTGACATTGAAAGACCAGAAAATCAAACTTGCTCTCCCTTTAGGATGACTGTGCAGCTTGCAAACACAGACCTACAGTTCTAAGTAGATTTTAGAGCAGACCTTCTCCTTTTGTAAAAGCTAACAGCTTAAATTCACTTCAGAGGAAGACTTAAGATTTCTCAATATTTGAGCATACACTTCTACCTTTATCTGACATTTTATATTAACTTTCATCTAGAACCATCTGAAATTCTCAAATACTGTGAAATATAATTTTCAAGATTGCAAAAGTGGTCCAGACTCTGTCATACATGAGTTAGGCATAATACCACAGCATGCACCAATACAGTACATATTTACTATTATTGGAAAGAAAATAAACTATTCTTAATTTCATTGAAGTTGTAAAGCTCTGTAAAAGGCTCTGTAAAATTCAGAAGTAATAGATAAAAGTTCTTAAGTTCCCACTGAAAATTCAATGTATACTGGTACTAATTAAAGTACTAAACAAACTGTTTGTTTAAATATTGCAATAGTTCTAAATCAATCACTGTCAAAATGGTCAAAATAAGTTTCAGCTCCTCCAGTTTCCTCAACTTCTGTAAATCTTTGACAGAAATATAAATGCTTTTCACTGGCTATTTTAGGCTTACACTTGAAAGTACATTTACACATCTTTACACCTCGACTGGCCCAGAGATAAGGCTAAGGTGTTAAATCAAGACAAGAGTGCCCCTCAGTGGCTGCATGTTGATATAAAATACAACTACATGATATTTTACTTTAACATTCTGAATATTTATTTTCATCACTCAGGGACAAGTGCTCCATTAAACGACCTTCTTGCAAAACTGTGTCATTACTAAAAATCAGAGGTTTTTAGCAGATACAATTTAGTAATGAATGAATTTAAGTATGCATGTCATTAGCTATAAATACTTAAGATAAACTAACAGTTGCTAAATATATTTGCCTATTAGAGCCGAGCGGCTTTTTGGCTGAGTGTGTGAATATGCCTACACTTCCCTGTTATTTTTAAACAATAGAGATTGATTTTTGCATAAAGGCTGCTCACAACAATTCAGCAGTATTCAAATTGTTTATTTAGCTCTGGGTCACAAGCAGTAAGAAAGCATGCAGTTGTGTTTTGAGAACTTTAAAAACTACAGTATCTGAATTGCCTGTAAGGCTTTCTGTGTGTACCAGATTGCATTATCTCACTCCAAGAGTGAAACTTTGTCATATTTCATACTGTTCACACATATACTGTTTTCAAAGCCTATCCTGAAACCTGCCTAGGGTCCTTCGTCCATACTGTGGAGATTCTAGAAACATACATCAAGAATATTCACTACTACAGGCTTAGACAAATAGCACCTCATTTCAGGTGATCACTGGGAACAACTGATGGATACTAAACAATTTCATGGTAGAATTGGAATAGAACAGATGGTTGTCATATTTTAGTACGTTCACTAGCACTTTTTATCTAAAGTTGGTTATCTCTGTAGTCTTGCTGATTTAAAGAAAAACAGGCCTTGAAGGGTAACTATACTTTATTTTTTTTAGGGCCAAATCATCTCTGTTATATTTGACACACATGGCTGTAATAAATATAGTTGTGGCTGGCGACTCCTGGTGATAATGATCACAAAATTTTCATTAGCAATTACACAACAGTACAACAATGCAATAGTTTACTAGCTTCCAAGTATGGCAACCAATGCCTGGAAATCTGAAAATCTCTGAGAGTTTCACTAAAGAAGTTCTGCTCACGTACATCATGGGAAATTCTCTTCAAGTAAATAGTTCTACTTACTAATTGTAACTTTGTCTTTATCCCCCAGCATGACATTGTTTGGAGTGAGATCTCGATGAACAATCCTCTTCTCTTTATGCAAGTAACGAAGAGCTAGACAAAGCTTAAAAACAAAAAGATAGGGCCTCATAAATATTCTTAACTACAACCTAAATAAAGGCACATAAAATTAAATTAAAATCTGATATTAGTGCCTGATATAATAAACATTATTTTGCCAGTTATTAGCCTAACAAATATAAATGGTGATACTAAACACATGCAGGAAAATCCTGATAACAAAAAGAATGGAGGCCCTTACTTGGATAAATATATGCCATATTCTTTCTTCTGTAAAGTGTTGTTGCTTTTCCTTCAAAGAGTGAAAGTATTCTCCCAATGGCACTCCCTCTATGAGCTCCATGACTATGTACAACCTGTCATCTACATAAAAGAAAATGAATGAATAGAAGATTACATTTATACAGAAGGCATTTGAGAATACAGTATTTGAGGTTTAAGTATATTTTAAAAGCTGGTTTTACTTTTAAAAAATATACTTATGCAAATATATTTAATCACAATTCTATTCCTTGTTATTCTTTTTTTTTCCTCAGTTTATATCACAGCAACTATAAGGAATTCACTGCATGGTAATCACTCAATGGGCAAGTGTATATAGCTAACTCTTTATACAAAAGAAAATTGAAACAATATGGCTGAGCAATCTATAACATTCAACTAGTCACTATAGCTTTTCTCCTTACATAGCATTCCAGCTGTAAATTCTGGATCTCTATTGGATGAGAATGATGTTTTCTACATGTTTATATTGCATCTAATTTTACTGATAAACAGATATAATGTCTCATATTTTTTTTCAGTTTTAAAGGGATATAAGCCTGTCTGAACTGTAGCAGTTCTTGAAGAAAATCTTACTACTCATTGCTCAAATTTGGCACATTCTTTCCAAGCTGTGTTTTTATTATATATTCTATTTCTTCATTATGTATACTGTGGTAGTTCTCTGCAGGTATACTTACTTTCCAAGAAGGTTCTGTAATACCGTACAACATTTGGGTGATAAAGCTACAATAGGGAAAAAAATGTAGATGTTTAGAATAGTTAAACTGATGGCACAGTATTTATAATGTTTAGCTACATATTGGAACGAAGGATTCCAGAAACTTGCCTATGAACTACAGTGCAGTAGACCTTCACTGGTACCCCAGAGTAGTGCTGCACATTACAAGAACAACCAGGAGGAAAATACAGCATTATTCCTATCCACTTTCCCCTTAATAATTGAAAGAGTAAATGAAGTTTGAGTTTGCAATTACATCTACATCAAAGTATTGGCTTCCTTAGCCTGAGAACACTAATGATCACTCTGGGGTTTTAATTTTCAATTACAAAAAATACCATCTTCTCACTGTATTTTAAGCCCCAGAATTCATTAATGGAACAAAGACTCATCAGTTTTCTATCACAATCTTAATTTAAAGAATCCCTGAAAAGTTCGAATACCACCAACACAGAAAGTAAGAATCCTCACTAGCAGGCATTTGCGCTGTTGCTAATGTTACAGTAAGAAGGTTTTCAAATTGACAGCATTCAGCTAAAAGGGGCCAATATTGTAGTGGTCAGACAAAAATAGTAACAGCAGCTGGAAGCCCTGCAATATAGAATCATAGAATCAACTAGGTTTGAAAAGACCTTTTAAGATCATCAAGTCCAACCGTTAACCTAGTGCTGCCAAGTCCCACTAAAACATGTCCCTAAGCACCACACCTACAGGTCTTTTAAAGACCTCTAGGGATGGTGACTCAACCATTTCCTTGGGCAGCCTGTTACAGTGCTTGTCAACCCTTTTGGTTAAGAAGTATTTCCTAATACCCAACCTGAGTCCTCCCTGACGCAACTTGAGGCAGTTACCTCTTGTCCTGTCACTTCTTACTTGGGAGAAGAGACTAAAACCCACCTCACTACAATTTCCTTTCAGGTATCTGTAGAGAGCAATAAAGTCTTCCCTGAGTCTCCTTTTCTCCAGACTAAACCACCCTAGTTCCCTCAGCTGTTCCTCATCAGACTTGTGCTCCAGACCCTTCACCAGCTCTGTTGCCCTTCTCTGGACTCTCTTCAGTACCTCACTGTCTCTCTTGCAGTGAGGGGCCCAGAACTGAACACAGGATTCGAGGTACAGCTTCACCAGTGCCCATTACAGCGGGATGAGCACTGCCCTGTCCCAGCTGGCCACACTATTGCTGATACAGGCCAGGATGCTGTTGGCTGCCTTGGCTGCCTGGGCACAAGCTGGCTTCTGGTCAGCCAATGGTCAGCCAACACCCCCAGGCAGCTTTTCTGCCAGGCAGCTTCCCATATGAGAATTCACAGTTAATAATGCTAACAACAGAATGCTCACACATGAAACTAGAGTCCATGAGACATACCTGCTCTTTGATGATGGTTAATTCGGAGACAATGTTCTTTACACTGCTGTCTCTGGTTTTTTTGTCCTTTCCAAATGCTGGATTGTGTAAATTGACTTCTTTCATTGCCAAGAGATTTTGTCCATTATGTTTCCTAACCTGCGAAAAAATCAAAACCCTTGTGAAGTTAATACAGGATGAGGATAGAAAGGATATTTTTATGGCTACCAGATTAGTTATGAGAGTCCAAACCTGCCACATGAAAGTTACAATCCTAGCTTTTTCTGTGTATGATGTGATTAGCTGTGTGAACTGGAGTCCCACAATACAGGTAAGCAGCACATTGCTAACTCACCAGTGTTTGAGGTAACATTATCTGTGCCCAGTATTGCCTTTCAGATAAAACATGCTTGAATTTCTGTCATTTTACACAGATTACTTAGCCTTTGCAGTAGACAGGAATGCTGTTTGTAGAAAGGAATTAAGAGAAAGTAAAAGTAGGAAACCTAAGATACACTGGTCAATCTTATAAATGCAAGAGGGGACAAACAAAATTACAGCAAATACTAACAACAGATCCACAAAGGCGTCGTTGCACCTGCATTCCCCTAATGAAATTCAAAGGATGGTTGTCATGCTTTAAGCCCAGCCAGTAACTCAGCACCATACAGCCATTCGCTCACCCCCCACTTCTCCCCTCCAGGTGGGATGGGGAGGAGAAGAGAAAGAATGTAAACCCCACAGGTCAAGATAAGAACAGTTCAACAACTTAAGCAGAACATAATACTATTACTTATAATAAGGAAAATAACAAGGGGAGAGAATATAACACTAAAAGGGAAAAGGAGAAGAAAAAAAGATGTAAACAGCAGTGATGCACAATGCAATTGCTCACCACCCACCAACCAATACCCAGCCCGAACCAAGCAGTGATTGATCCCTTCCAGGTAACTCCCCCCAGTTTATATACTGGCCATGACATGCTGTGGTATGGAATGGTATTTGGCTAGTTTGGGTCAGGTGTCCTGTCTCTGCTTCCTCCCAGCTTCTTGTGCCCCACCTCACTGGCAGAGCATGAAAGACTGAAAAGTCCTTGGTAAGGGTAAGCAGTACTGAGCAAAAACTAAAACACCAATGTGTTCTCAGCGTTGTTCTCACACTAAATCCAAAACACAGCACCGCACCAGCTACTAGGAAGAAAATTAACTCTATCCCAGCCAAGACCAGGACAACAGTACTGCCTAAAAGAGGTATTAGACCCTCTTCAAGAAACGTCCCCCCAAACCTGTAAATTAATACCAAAAGAGAGGTTTACCTTATATACGCTTCCAAAAGCTCCACGGCCAAGGTGCTCTAAAATTGCATAATTGCCTATATGTTTCGTAGGTGCCTTATTCTGATTCATGCTCTCAATACTTTCAGCAATTTGCTTCAATTCATCTTCCTGGTTATAAATTAAATGACAAATAAATAAATAGAAGAAATGTCATGCCTTTCTTGTGCTAAGAAAGTACAAAGAACACAGCTTTTTAAAGCTATGAAGGTTTTTACTTACCTTTAATAAATTTAGCTTTGATACCAACTCTTCATAAGCACTGATATCACGCACATAATGTCCAACATCAATGAAGATTTCAAACAAGTCAGTAGGGAAAAGTCTACAAAGGTTTAAATTTTAATTTACTTTAGAAACAGTGTGCATAGTAGCTATTAATCTACAGCATAGACTTTTCAGTGTCTACTATTTCAACTTACTTTAGATCCTGCTAAATAAAGCACTTTTTCTTTTTTTACTAATCTATTCAGACATTAATCCTCTAACATTACATAAGAATGATGGTATTCTAAGAAAAAAAGTTTGAAGGTTACACTTTCCCACTCAGAATAATCAGGTCTAATGGAAGGTGTCTCTGCCCTTCCAACCCAAAACATTCTGTGATTCTATGATTATATATGCAGGAGTTAAAGGACTTTTCAAAAGTCAGACTTCAGTCTCCATTGTCTGGGTATTTATATGTCAGTTCTCCAAACAAATGTAAGCCTCTTTAAAGTCAGTGCAGCTCCCAAGCTTCCAAAATTTTCCTAATTTTATTTTTCTTCTAGTACATTATATTATGCTTGTTATCACTTTATCTGAGTTCCTTCTTGTAATGCACAGGAACCCCTAAAGAGCTAGGTTCTCTGGCATGTATACAATAGAAGTCCCCTCACTGAACATCTAAATCTTGCAGTTTGCACTACTGCAGTGCAGGAATGGTGATCTGAAATTGTGGGCAGGACAGAATTTGCCCTATTTCTACTATTTCTTCTTGTTGAAAATAACATTTAAAAAACACGTCTTTCTGATTGGAGTGACAACTTTTGAAAGCTATCTTATAAGGAACTTCACAAAACATGTTGTTAACGTACCTTTTAAAGATATGTCGATTTCTTTCCATACTGAAGAGAAATCGCAGGGCTCTGAAAGCATAACACTACAGCAGGAAAAATATTTCAGTTAATGAGAAATTTATACACAATTGTAAAAGCCACTGATAAACATCAAGGATACCCCTTGAATTCACATGGTAAACTCTGTACTTAAATGACTAGACAGATTATGATACTAACCTGATAATGAAAAGAGTAAAAATATATTAAGTTTCTCCTGTATTTTAAAAGTAGGCAGGGCCATTTAGTGAG